TATTTTGTCACAAAATGAATCAATTTGAGGTGCTATGGAGAGATTTCAGCATTCATCGGAGACAATAAGCCATATCCAGACACTAGATACCATATTCCTAATTTTGAGAGAGCAAATGGCAGATGGCACCATTCGTGGTAGGAAAGAAATGTTTGACAAACGTCACTCTTTATGAGGGGTAATTGAAAGAACGTTTGGGGTTTGGAAGAAGAAATTGGTCATCTTACGTGATATGTCATCATATCCATTTCAAAAGCAGGTGCATATTGTGGTGGCAACAATGACACTTCATAATTTCATCTGACGACATCCTTTACGTTCAAATACAGACTTCAGTATGGCTGATAAAGATGAGTTGAATGTCTATGAAGAACCATCAGAATTTTTTATCGGGTCTTCAGTATCTGAGGATGAGAATGACTGTAATAAATTTGAAGTTCATGACGCGGAGGGTGTGGTTGAGATGGCTGCCCTGAGGGAGTCTATAGCAGATGCTATCTATGACAGTTAATCAACCAAGTCTTTCTTTTCTTTGTACATTATAGATTCATTTTGATGTGTACTTTTTTTTCCTTTTTTTAAGATATGACATTCGATTTTTTTTACTTTTTTTTTCGCTGTTATACCAACATAATTTCTAGGATTTCACTGACAAACAGAGTTGTTTTGTGTTACTGTGGACTACCGGCTCCGTTACTCGTGTCGCGTCAGCCTCATAGCAGTGGGAGAAGCGGTGTTTCAGTTCGTTGCGGTTTCTTCTGATGGGCCGACAGTCTGACATGTTACACTGCTAGCAGTGATGAGAACTCGATGTTTTCCCGGGTTGATAGTGCAGCTGAGGATAAGCGTAGTCAGAGTTTGAAATTGAATATTTTAATATTTCTTATTGTAACTGTACTTGTCTTTATCTTTTTTTTTTTTATTTTGTTTGATACTCACGAGAGTGTGAAAACCGTATGTCATCTTTTGGAAGTAATCTGTGATGATTTTATGCTTCTGTGCTATATGTTTATGTACTACCAATAATCTCTTCTGAATAAGCTGCCCCCAAATAGTTTTACCATACGGGCAGGAATTTGTTGGATTATTATATGTGTATATAAACATGAATTCTAGAGTTTGTTTAATTAG